AGAAAGAAATCTCGAAGAATGTTAAAAAAATCAAAGGTGCCCCATTACTTTTGGATCACCCTAATAGAATACTTTCAAGTTTTTCTTCAGCATCTTAGATCCATGAATGCACTGTGATGATGAGTGGTTTGAGCTGGAATCCACTAATGCTTGGAAAAGCTTGTCAACAAGAGCAGGAAAGAAAATTGCTCATGGTAGCTAAATTTATTGAAGCAACAAAATCAGAATTATGAAGCGGCTTTTCAAGCGTAGTGTTGGAGAGTAATGCTGAATAGAGCTAGTGGTACGGTGATATTCAGTGCATGGTTTACGATGAAGTACAAATGAGAATAGGGTAGTAAAGATGCTCTAAGCCAAAGACATTGAGGCGGAGAAGGAGGCTAAAATGAGGTTTTGTCTTTTTCAATCAGATCCCATAAGAAGATAAAGGGCATCCTTTCTAAGACATTCTTTCAATGCGAAGAACACATTTGGCAAAATTTTTAAGCACTTGATATGGATTTAATTTCTGCTCGTGCCTTGTCAGGTGTAGTTTTTGTCCACAAGTATGTACTTTCGAATTTTTTGGACTCACAATGCCGTCTCCGACTTGTCGGACATTCTTGTTTGGTCCAAATTTCACTTTTGTCTTACTCTCGTCCTGCAATTTTTTCTCGATGTCATCCCAAGTGATATGCGTTTGGAAGAGACCAGTCCCTATGCTGTGCAAGCTTGGCCGTTCAGCAACTGATGGAGAGCTGTTCGTTTTCCTCAAAAAGAAAATAGCCTCAATAGGTTTAAAGAAAAAGGCCAGTAACACTGTTAAATCAATTCGATACGTATTCTTAAAGACCAACTAGCTAAAAACATGGCTCATGAATAATACTTCTTATTTTGGAAGCATCCAAGATAATTTTGATGGAAGAAGAAAGCACATGAGTTTGGTGACATGAGCAAGTTGACAGTCATATCTTAGTCTGCATAAGTGTTAATAAACAGCTTCAGTAAGCTTCTTTTAAACAGCCTCTGTAAGCTACGTTTTTTGCAAGCAATTATTCATTCTTATAAAAAGGATGATTAATTTGATTGCCTCAATATAAAACTGCCCATGCTAATCTTTATGCATGATAAAATTGTTTTACCTTGAAGAAAATGCATCTGTCGTCGGAAGCGTACCCTCCTTGCTAGCAACATCTTCGTAAACCATTTTAATCTTATTAGAGATATCTAAAACAGTTCAAAGCACTGGCACATATGAGCATGTTCATGGCAGCGCATGAGTAGAACATAATTACTTGGTTGATCAAAAAAGCATAAAGAGAAGAAACTGGCAAATATAAAACGGCAAGACCATTTCATGGAATGAAAAGTTAAGAACGAGTTTTTTACGGCAAGCTCTCGGACTATCTTCTCCACTGACTCCAGGTCTAACATTTGGCATCCTTCTATCAAAAACTGCATTTCCATGTCAATGATTAAAAATAATCGACGAGTACCTTCTCCAGGGTGCAAAAACATGCGCAGAAGCTCAGAAATACAAAGTTGGTCATCCACTTCCCATATCTCAGCACTCTGCAGATTGCTAAATGTACAAACTTTTCGCGCACTGTTTTGGCTACTGGTTCCAACAATAACTACTAGGTTGATGCATGAATTCCTGCACCAAATTTTTGAAATTTTTTTTGCTTTCTTCAGCATAATGAAACCTTTTGATTTGCTTGATTATAGGAAGAGTAAATCTTGCGTTTTCAAAATGTAATTGAGCTAAAATTCTTTGAGTGCATATAGCAGCGATGTAAGGTGATTAAAAGTAATACACAAAAAATGATTTTTCGATTTTTGGTTGCTAAAACTGCTAAAATATCTACAAGAATTCAGATTTTTTAGTTTTGGTTTTATGACCGACTCTTTTGACTAGGAGAAGTTGGTAGAATGGAGTGAATGGACGTCTCTAGGAATAGTTACGAATTTCGAATTTTCAAAACCAGATTGTTGATTTTGTTAGATATTGATTTTCTAGAATCTTATATATAAAGCTGAATGTCTGTTTGTATGTATGTCTGTCTGTCTGTATGTCTGTCTGTACGTATGTTCCGAATAGAAAATTCCATTTCTGAACCGATCCGGACCAAACTTGGCACACATACACTACGGGCCCCGGCGGGTGTCATAGGCTACTTTTCGTCATCGATCGATATCGATTTTATCGATTTTTATCGATTTTTTTGCTGAGTTCACCTACGGGGCTGGGATTGGCACAGGGGGTAATCGAGCATGGGGATTCCGAATTCAATATTGGTTTTCAGGATTATCGATTACTTTTATCGATTTTATCGATTTTTTGCAAAGTTTGAGCTAGGGGGCTGGGAGTTGGCACAGGGGGGTAATCGAGCATGCTGATCATCCCCAAGGGGGGTGATCAGCATGCTCGATTACACCCCTGTGCCAAATTCCAGCCCCTAGCTCAAATTTTCAAAAAAATCGATAAAATCGATGAAAGTAATGGACGATCTTGAAAACTAATATTGTATTCGTAATCTGCATGCTCGATTACCCCCCTGTGCAAACTCCCAGCCCCGCAGGTCAAACTTTACAAAAAAAATCGATAAAATCGATAAAAGTAATGGACGATCCTGAAAACTAATATTGTGTTCGTAATCAGCATGCTCGATTACCCCCCTGTGCAAAATCCCAGCCTCGCATGTCAAAATTTACAAAAAATCGATAAAATCAATAAAAGTAATCGATAATTCTGAAAACTAATATTGTATTCGGAATCCCCATTCTTACTCCCCCCCCCCCCCTGTGCCACTCCTAGCCCTGTAGGTGAACTCTGCAAAAAAATCGATAGAAATCGGTAAAATCGACATCGATCGATAACGAAAAGTGGACTGTGACACCCGCCGGGGCCCGAAGTGTATGTGTGCCAAGTTTGGTCCGGATACGGCGGAGCCGGGTAAGCCAGCTAGTATACTATAAAATACTATTACTGATATACATAGCAATGAGCATATTGTGTAAGTTGATTAGTGCGTTTAAGCACTTTTGAAGTATTTTTTTTATTTTCTGCAAGAATTGTGCGTCAACCTAATACTAGTATGATACTACTCAATCTATACCCAGTAAAAGAGCAACATCAAAGCGAGTTGGATAGTATTTAAAATACCGAGATCAGCATATGCTGCAAAATATATGGCCAAAATTCTTACCCATGGAACTGCAAACGTTTCTCCCCAAAAGTGTAGTTTGTGTTTTTTAGAATTTTGAAGTGTAGCTAAATGAGAAATCTTTTCAGGATTACGCATACTATCAATTTATTTGGTAAACGGGTAGAAAGAAGTAGAACAGGATTATACATCTTATCAGTGTTCTGCCTGCCTTTATCAGCTATTTTTGACCTAAGAATGTGATGGAATATTGCACCATTGATAACACGCTGTCGTGAATACTTGCCTATTTCGGTGATTCGGTCACTCGACCAAGTATCAAATGTTCCTCTTCCTAACAAACTCTATAATATTACTCACAGTTCCCTTTATTAGCTTTATACGGAAATCTTCTCACAGTTGTTCTCAGTTCAGCAGCCACGTTGTGTAGCTGCACAATTTTTTTTTGAAAATTTGCACAACTTGCAGATTGCTTGTCAGAATGACAGCCCTTTTATCTGAATTGCGCATTTTTTCCTGTTACAATTTCGTCGTTTGAAATTGTCTAGGTAACCGTTACAATCAACTCTGCCACAGACTGGTAGAGTAAGAAATTGAGAACGTTGCACTGGCTTAAAATTATTATTTAACCTATTTCAGGCAAAACTTAAAAAATTTGACGTTTCATTGACTTTTTTATGAAAAATTATATAATCTTTTAATGGAACATTTGCAGGAATTCCTTTTTGAAACAGCGGTGTTGATTAAATATGGTCCCTTTTGTTTTTCCACTAGGATCCAATTTGCTCTTCCATCGCTGCAAAGTTTTTTGAGAATCTCAGCAACTTCGACACAATCAAAGTTAGAGCGAGACAACCGTACATCTAAAATTTCCTCGAGCAGATATTATTTAATAAAAAAATTTTGGAAGTTGTTTTTTATATCTCTTCCTGAATTAAGAACCTCTTGCACAGACGTTTGTTTGACTTCACTTATTTTGCTCAGTGCTTCAGCATCTCTTATCTCTGACAGGTTAACCGCTTGAAAATTTCAAGGCCCCTGGTAACCTGCGTAGTTTGACCTTCTCGTCACTGTTCGTAACATTTACTTTTCTCTAGTTAAACATAGAGTTTTGACTACTGTAAATGCACGTGCATGTCTTCATCCTATGTCTGTAATTTGCATTACTTTGTGTGTGATTGTTCAGGGCACTTGTTTTGCATTTTGATAAATATTTCTGCTATGCCTATTCATCATTCTTAACTGTTTATTAGAATGTGTTTAGGTACACCGCGATGATTTTATATGAGGTCAGCAGATCGTTAAATCTGCTTACGTACTTCAATCTCGCCTTTTTCGATGAGAAATCCGTTATTTGTAAGAGTCAATGAGGACTGGAGATATCAGGGCTCGGTTAAATGTCGCCTTCCCATTGTTGGTGTTCCACCAAAACCATTTCGTGGTTTTGACCAGGCCTTTTTATGGTAGTGAATTCAAGCATGGCACTCAGAAAGCTTGAATACTCACCTTAATTTTCAGTTGCTTAGTAAATAAACCGTCTCGTAGTCTCGAAAGCATGAGCACACTGAATAACATGCCTCCTTTCGATGTGGAAAGCTGTGAGAGCTGAGGATATTTTATTCAAAATAAGGGCGGCACAACAAACAAATCTGCGCGAACAAGCTCTTAACGACCCAAAAATAATAACAAATTTATAAATTGGATCAGGTGCACTTCCAGGACGATACATACTCAAATATCAATAAAAAGGCTAGTGATCTTCAAGACTAACATATTAACCAGCAAGAATGCTGAAAACTGACTTCAAAACTGAAACTCATAGTGCACTTGAGCGATATGATGAATTTTTAAGGAAGCCGTTAAGCGATATGAAGAATTGGAGAAGTGAGCAAATGCCCGCTAAGATATAAAACTGAGAATATCATATTTCATGTGGGTACCAAGCTGTTTGTGCTTGGTCGAATGTCTCGATTGCGTTTTGCAAAGAAAAGCATGTCTTCCAAAAGGGCGAGTTTTTTCTCCTTCAATAGATCCTTCATTTTAACACTATTCTCTTCTGATACATTGCCAAAAGTGGGTAACAATAGTACACCTGCTATAGGGAACATCCGCCGATAGGATTCTTTGAGCTGCAATGAGAAACGATTGAACATTGAAAATTCACGTATTGCCGCGTACTCACTTGGTCAAGAGTGAATGGAAGATTTCCTGTGCAGTATTTCTGCAAGTCTTCATAAAATTTTTCAAGCAAACGCTCCCAGTTCTTACGACGGTCCTTCCCGCTCATGGTACTTATGAATAAACGAGTGAGGTCTTCTGCAGGACATCCGAAGTGTGCTAACTGTAAAACTAAAAAATATTTCTCTTGCAAGGGCCTATGTTTAATTTTTTGCACAGACTCTACGCAATATGTTTTCAGTCAAAGTATAGAGCCGTTCAAGGTAAAGGTACAAATCTTCCCAGTTATCGAGAAATCAACCAAAAGCGGAGGACGCTGATTGAGGAAACCAAAGTGAAGGACGACTTCTACTGTAAGCACTTGAACAAAGAAATTTTGCTGACTGTTTCATAAAGATAAGGCTTCTCGCTGATTCTATCTTCTTACAGTATCAAAGACAGCCAAAGGGCCCTGGATTACATTGTTAAACTATTAGAATAAAAAGGTACGACTTTAAAAATTCGGGTTGATTGTCATAGGCTCCTCACAGCTAGTTTGTATGCTCAAAATGAATTGAAAACTCTGCGTAAAGTTATGCGGAAAAGGCGATTCAGTTGACGAATAAATCATTTCATCTTGAATAAAACCTCCAGGCAAATTTTTGTGCATTTTTTCCCACGCAAAAATCGAAAGACTCTAAACTATGGCCTGCCCTAACCAGCTCATATGATTCATTTGGACCAAGAAAAACACCATCAAATCTCCTCCAGCATTGAGGCCTAAGAACTTTTGAATCTACAGTCTGCAAAGCAAAACGAATATCAGTCAAAACTCTTGTAAAGCAAGACACCATTCGGGCAGTGGCGGATGAGGGGGGGGGGGCGAGAATGGGTCGCGAAATTTTTGAAATTTGCTTGCGTGGGCTATAAAATTGTGCGAGTGACTTGTTTATTCTTGTAAACAATTAAGGTAAATTTCAAAATGTTTTAAAAACTCAAATTAGCCCTAAAAAAATTTTTTTGGGGGTATGGCTGACGCCACGCCCCTTTTTTCTAGATTCTAGGGGTGAGACCAGGAAAAATCTTGAGAAACACCCCTAAAATTTTTTCGGAGTACGTGGCGGACGACACGCATCTTCATTTGAAAAAAATTTTTGCCGCTCCCTCCCTCAGACGGAAATTCTGGGACTGTCACTTCGTTCGCATAGTGATTAATCCTGCTTTGGTGACTTACCTGATAATCGACTATCCCGGTCAAGCTTAAGCCATTTGCTGTATTTGTCCATATCAGATTCGCCGACCAAAGATCACCGTGAACAAAGACGTCTTGCATACCTGATAGAACTTATAAGAGTAAGCCTTCGAGAATGCTGAGGAGGAAGACCAACCCAATTCTTCATTTAAAGCAGAGGTCAGCTCCAAATCAACGAATTCCGCAGTCATCGTCTCAAGCACTTTTCCAGCTGGTTCAAGCTCTGGAGCTGTAGCATAAATTTCTTGAATCATTTTAGACACAGCCTGCAAGAAAACAGATGTTCGTTCTTAATGATCCCTATAGCCTTATTTACAGCAATATGGACGATTGAAACTTACCGTTGCGTGTATTAGTGGTGGATAAATCACGGGAATAGGATTGCTAGCTACTTTTCGTTTTTCTTCATCGTTGAGCTCCAAACTTTTTGCTTCAAGATACGCCAAAGCATCAATAGCCTGAAAATGACAAATTGTGCTTCAAAGGGTATAACGCGCTCCTTGACAAAGCCGCGACATTCGCAATTTCAACAATTACTCCAATCTCAAAAAGAATGACTTTTTCCATGATCTTACGTTATATGACACAAAACACGATCAGACCACTTCAGTTTTCATGAAGGATTCATTGCAATCAGAGAATGAAAGGAAAAAGGTTCTAACATCGGATAAAAAAAGCAAAGCCAACCTTTTTTTAACGAAAAATCTATAAAATATAGCGCTGCAAAATGAGCATTGATAGGGTGGTCGCATTATGAGGAAAAAGAAGATGTTCGGACTCGAAAGCTAAAGCGGAAAAGTACTTAATGGTGCATTGCTTAAATCGGACAGCTTGGAGCTGATGCAAAAAAAATTAGCAAAAATACGGAATGCGCCCTTCACTTTCCGAACTACAGAAGAACTCAACTTACTTCATAGAGCTCATCAGGTTCCATATTTTGAGAGATATCGCGAACAACAACGTTTTCAATGAATTCCATTCCGATAAAGCCTCAAGTTTCTGCAGTTTGTCATTGTTTCAACTTATAAGAAGTTGGCAGGTTAGAGCTTTTACCTTTCAAATCATTGTCCTTCGTAAATTTTTGCGTGAAATAAACATGTGGCATTTTCGATAATGAATTGTCGAATTTTGAAAAGGCCTGGTAGATATCCACTTCACGATTGTGATTCTGGAATGGAGTTTTTGTTGTTCGTGTGATCGATTGAAGTTCGGAAACTGGAAGGACATCATAACTACTTGTGTAATTGTGAAGAACTCCAATTTGAATCCCAGATCTACTATATTTTTTTGTCAGTACGATTACTCCGTTGATCTAGTTCATTTTTTTTTACTCTGGAACTTGCAACAAAGATTGGAACAGTCGGAGCTACAAAATTTACATTTGGTTTTCTGACTGAGGATGGTTTGCGCTGATTGAACGACTCTATGAAAGGTATGATTTTTGAGCAAGCAGTTCAAAGTAGCGTGTTTGTTTTTTTTGGCATTTTTTCGTAAACTACAACTCTACATAGAAACTTCAATCAGCTCAAACTTTGCTCATTTAGAAAGAGCAGGTATTAGAACCTATAATTTCGACTGCTCCAACTTTTGTAGTAAGTTTTAGGCTTTTTATGACCAACACAGAAAATTCGAAAGTTGAATGGTTTTCTTCTCCGGCTTCGATCTCCGGTTCTCGCCTTTATCTAAAGGTACTCAAGGGTACCATCAGAAGGAGCACGATCTCGTATTTTGAATAAAAACAATATGGACGATGAATTAGGAGGAAGGAAGTTACAGTTTTTGAAAATGGAGCGATTTTCGTGCCAACCTAATGTAATTTCCACAAGCTATAATACTTGTGTGGTGCTTACCTACGAAACTCAAACTCAAAACTTACACGATTCCTGTCGCTCACTAGAATGTATCCCAAAATCTTGAAAATTCTACTTTTGAAATACTTAGCAATTTAGCGCCCAATATTCGGTGAAGGTTGAAATAGAAGCACGATAATCTCGAAATTCGGATTATAGGTTGCAAATTAGTTGGAGTTGAAAAAGCGTGCCAGCCAAACGATTCAGATTTAAAACATGTCTTTTACATCTCACAGAGTTCAGTACCTCCCGTCTTTAGAAAAAAAGGCCTCAGTTAGAGAGAAGCTATCGATATGCCATATGTTTGCGGTGATGCACTGACAAACAGTGCGCTAATAAAAATATTCAGAAAATTTTGACTATTTTTTCGCAAAATATTCATATGTACTACTGCAACTTGTACGTTTGCAGGCGTTAGCTGCACCTTATTTCACTCACATTTCTAGAAGTCTTGGCAAAATCATCGAGAACTTCTTCATCGGTAAACTTCTGTTCGTGACGTTCTTTTATAGATTTTGCCATTCCTAGCGAAGGCAGGAGGGTTACTATCTTAACTGCGAACCTAAACTAACAGTTGTCTAAAGCAGTCTAATTATAAGAGTTTATAGAAAGATGTTCTCGCTTGCTCATTTGTCATTATTTGAGCTCGTCCAACGAGTGTTACTAATTTGTGACTAAATTTGGAATAAACATGTGCAAATTGCGGTTACAGCACCCTATTGTTTTACGAGCAAAGAAGGCAACAATTGCCATACTGAGCACTTACTTTTGGGGCAGGTCGACTTCTTTTTGATAATCAGCATCAATAACAGCAATGCGAGACATGAATCCCTATAACATATGTTGAAATGAAACTTTTGCATTTCAAGTCGCAGAAGTTGGGAATAGCTAAAAAACATTAGAAACTATGTTGTTACTGCCCAACATTAGGATAAAAAAACAGCAACATTTTAGCGTATAAAAGCATCCGCTCAATCTCTGTGAATGTTAAGAGAAAAGATAATTTTTGGATGGGCTCCTCTAGTGCGGAAACTGTTGAGATGCACGGTTTGCGGCAGATTAGTGTTAGGAAAATTTTTCAAGAGCTAATTCTGTGCCTCGTCTCAGCGAACTTCGGAATTTTGACCTTCTACCGCAAAGCCACTGTAGTTCCGGTAAAAGTCAAGATTTCGAAAATTGCAGAATCAAAGCTGAAGATTCTCGGTATTTTTGTGGAAACAAAATTTCTTCATGCACAATTTATGCACACCTCCCTACTGCTGTTCAGCAACTTTGCCGAATCTTGGTAAAGGAACATTTTAATAGACTTATGCGCGATATTTGTATCAGGTGAGTTTGTAATGATTCTGAAAGTAGGAAACACGGGCTTTGATTGAAAATGTCTTACTTACAGTTCCCTCGCCAACTTGTCGAACATTCTTGTTTGGACCAAACTTGACCTTCAGCTCTCTATCCTTTAGCAAACTGCTCTCGATATCTTTCCAAGTGACGTGCGTTTCAAGAAAACCATTGCCTACGGTGTACAATTTAGGCCCCATGGCAGCAGACTGGGTATGTACGAGTATCTTGAAAAGAACTAATTTTAAACGTAATTCTCAAACACAATTATATGGCTTTCGCAAAAAATTAAATATTTCAAAAATCCATGTATCGCTGCAGTACTTCTCAGTGAATTAATGATCGTGAACCCCTCAGCTCAAAAAATTGCACTTAAACATTGCCCTCTATCCAATAAAAAATATACAAAACAAAAAACTCTTGCAAATTTCATGATTATGGCCAAGCAAAGATTGCTTTACATATGGTCCTTTTTAAGTGGTAAAAAGACTAAGGTGTCAGAAAAGTTTGGCAGCTGATAAAGTTCCAACAGTTGGAATTCAAAGCGAAAAGGAAATTTTCACTAAAGTAGAAGTAAGCCAGCATAAGTCATACATACAAAACGCCCGTATTTTTTGATCATTAAATGCAAATAAAATCCACATTGAGCAGAAACGTCGAGGAATTCCAGAGGAAAACTCGTCCGAAGTGGGCAAACATCGCATGCGCGCATGCTATTGGCTCTAGAGCAGCCTTTCCGTACCTTTGAAAGTGCGACTTGCATTGCTATGTTGAGAGTTAACTTGGGCAGGAATCGAAAGTAAAACCAAACATTTCTTAGTCGATTTAGAACATGTTAACCAACTGCATCTTGGCAGTTGGTCAGAGTGTATCCTGCAGATGCAGATAAGATAATTTTACAAAAATTTTGGAATTTTTTTGGATGCATTATAAGAAGAATGGTTTGATTACAGAACTTGTTAGTCAAAGATTATCGCATGTTGCGCAACAAAGTAACACAATGGACAATAAGACAATCTACTCTTTCAACTTTCTCGAAAAGGAGCCCACGAACCCAGCTAAGATTTGTTGTGTTACGCTGGATACCACTGAAGGAGTGCAAAAATTTTACTACTTTAAGCAAGTAGGTCAAGAGTTGAGCGAAAGTCTTCATATCAATTAAAGAAATGTGAGAAGTTGTGGTGCAATTCGTGAAACTTGTCTACCCCTGCCCAATTTCATGCGTGCTCTATCAGACTGATTTAATTTATATAACACACTAATTGCGCCATAAACCAAGGAAAGTCATTGTCGAGAGGCAAAGTGACTTTTCCTTGAGCTTGCCTTATCGGCACTCGTAAGTTAAGGATTTTTATATGGTTGTCCGGAAAATAATATAGTCGCATAGCATCCCACCGCGGCAGAATGACCATAAAAATAGCGAATGGGGTATCATATAGAGCAAAGCAAGCTCTACAAGACAGTTTACAAACCTACGCGGAAATCGTGCTTCACCTGAAGTTTGAATCCAAAATATGAAAAATTCCAGATGCCCGAAAAAGCGTATCTCCGTTCATAGACGTCTTATGGATCTCCAATTTGCGCAGACATGTACTCTCTACACTAGACATTCACCTTAGTTTGTAGTATTTTTCCTTGGCTACAGTACGAGAAACAAAAATAGGTCAAAAGTGCGAATATGACGCGTTTTTCGGTTTTTTTGCAAACAATTAGATTTTTCTCGAAAACTAGCGCTTGTCTAAAGCTGAAAATTCATGGTTATACTCTCAAAGGCTCATGCTACAGAATCACCCATGTGAGAGAAGCTCAGGATTGTTTTGGCAAAAATGTGCCGAATTTCGTTTTCTCAATTTTCAGCCATGGAAAAACCGCGAAAATGTGCATGCATGTGTATCGTATGGTGAGTTCACGCGTGAGCAAGTTAGGGGTTCCCAGGACTATTCTGAACAGAAATACGACTTTTTTTTCGTTTTTTTAGATCTTTAGTGCCTTGTAAAATTTGGCTCCAAACTTCACGCAAACAAACTTGGCGCAAAGGCTGGAGCTTCATTTTGTAGAGCTTGTTTTGATCTATCGGTTGGTACCCCATTTACTTACTTTCGTGCTCACCCTGCCACAATTTTGCATGTTAAAATGAAAAGCGACATTATTTTTCGGACAACCTGATATAATTGCGCCGGCAAAGTCAAAGGCGATCATGGGTATATGCGATCTAAGATATTCTGCACGAAAGCGTAGGTTTTCACCACAGCACAAGTTCTCTCTTACAAGGGGAGGATACTTGTTCGAAGTGGGGTTTCCATGTAAAATGTATACTCTCACTTAGAGCATGGAACGCTGATTCCAAATCTGCCTTCCCTATCTGCAGAGCGCTTCTGGGAGCGAAGTTCTGGGATTTTTTTAGCAAAAATTTAATGGTTTTGCTAAGGCAAAAACAGGTATTGAGGTCTGTCCGGCGCTTGAAAGGAGTATTGACTGACAAGAGCCTATTAGATTGAAGGTACTTACTGCATAAAACGCCTTCGTAGTAATCATAGCCCCATTCCAGCTCATAGACTGCAGTTTGAATGATTTTATGGTAGTCGCGCGTTCGCGTTTTTGCTCCAAGAAATAGCTTCGCTCCAAAAGCGCTTTGCAGATACGGAAAGCGGATTCGGAACCAACGTCCTAAGCACTATAAGACGGTATACATTTCATAATGAAACGCCACTTCGACCAAATATCCTTCCCTTGTTAGAGCGATGCTTGCAGTGTTACTCAAACTGCGAACGTTACAATGGAAAAGTGTTGAATATGCCTTTCAGATTGCACAAAGATTGCTGATAAATTATATCAGGTCATTCCCAAAATGCGTAATAATTAATTAATTGAATAATTGAATGATATTGTTGGATAAATGCTAGGTGGCATAAGAGGACTTAGGCATCACAGCTTCCTCCATATCTTCCAGGACTTAAAAATATCATCTTGAACAGTTTCTCCTGACATTGTTGATAGGAGACGATTCAATATTTACTAATTGGGGGGGGGGGGGAATGGGAAGGAGGAGATTGATTTTATTCAAAGCATCCGACTCTATAATTGTGTATACCATCCAACTGTTGCCGCTAGATACGAAAAGACAAGTGCCTTGTTGATTCATACTTCAAACTTATTAAACAGAGTGAAGCGTTGTTGATGAATCACAGAGAAGTGGGTTTGTAGACTGCTTCAAATGCCGAAAATAGTGGAGCAAGAGAGAATTTAAGCACCAAATATTATTTCATAATGTATTCTCACAACTAGAGGATAGTTAGTCGAAAGTACCAATCCAGATGAGACACATATCGTCTTGAAGCGCTTGAAACGCTAATTCCAAATCTGCAGTCTCTAGCTGCGGAGCGGTTTTGTAGAGGGAGTTATAAGGGGTGTTTCCTCTGGAGTTGAGGTGCCCTTCACCAGGTCTCCCCTACCTATAAGCACTGTAGAGGAGTACCCACCGGTGGCAGCTGGCCTACTGGTAAGCGACTTGGTTTGTAAGGATAGTGCCAAGGTTTTAATCCCCTTCGCTGCAACTTTGCGCAATTTTTGCAAAATTGAGCTTCTAAATGGCTTTAGAGCCCCAAAAGCATGAAAATTCTGATGACATTGATGCTAATAGAAGTTAGAAATGATGAAAAAAACAAAGTAATACGAGTATTATAATCCTTACTGTAATCTTCATTCAAGTTACTCACCATTACGCCAGTTGCCACCAGCTGATACTCCTCTACAGTGCTCATAGATAAGGGGAGACCGCTGGAAGGCACCTCAACCCCAGAGTGGAATAACCCTCATAACTCCTTCTACAAAACCGCTCCGCAGTTAAAAACTACAGATTTGAAATCAGCGTTTCAAGAGCTTCAAGAAGATGTATGTCTCATCTGGATTGGTGCTTTCGACTAATAATAAGTATCCTCTCCCTGTCAGAATTGATTAGGGATGCCTCAAGCATTCCAGTGAATACGGCAGAAAGCTCAGATTAAAGTATTCACTATTGTGCAGCGACCTCATGCTGACTCAAGCAATTTCGCATAAAACATTGCTAAGTATATGGCACAGAAGTTAATGCCCTCTAGTTAATCAGACAAAGCGTAAACACATGTTGCTCCCATACCAGTGCGCAATGAGAAAAGCTACTTCAGGTGTTATACTATTCATACCTTCGCAGAAATTACAGAAAGGCGATAAGGTGAGAGAAGTTGTCTCCACTTTAGAATACTTCAATAGCTTTTCAAAAGTTAATAATATTGGGTTGATGCAAAAATAATGGCCGGACTGTGGGTCCTCAAAGTAAAAGTGACTTTTCTCAAATATTTATGCAGAAATAGACTACATTTCACAGTCATGCTTTGGAGGCTTTGCGGTACACAATACCTGAATTGGAGGAAAGGGGCAGAGTTAGAGGCGGAGTTTGCCAATTTTAGATTTTCTTTTTTTCTCAAACTCTAAGCGAGAGAAAATCGAGAGAAAATTACAGAAGTGCATAAATGAACACTGGTATGTGCCTACTATGTGATATGGGAAAATCTGCCTTCTCTCGATAGCTAGTGAGCAGTGCAAAATCACCGAGCTAATTTGACCTACTATTACATCCATTTGTCGTAATTGGCACTTCAAATAAAATCCCTATACCGAGACAGAAAAATTGTACTAAAACTATTTTCTTTCTACCTTGATACCGCAGCCTGCGAAGAGAATTCCGCAAAAACGGCTGCTTCGAACAACATATCATAATCTCTGTGACGTCAAAGAATGAGTGTGCAACATCTAAAAGGAGAAAAGTTGACGAAAAAGTCGCAAAATTTGGTTGCCAACATACCAATCCCATCTGCGACATCTACATCTTTTTATTGCTCTCTTTGCAATCTTTCTCTCCCTATTTTTCTAAAATTTACCCGGACAAGTTGAATATATCCGAAATTTGTGTTGAACCAAGAAATGTACGTCAATCCGAATTATCAGAAGTATCCCAGCTTTTATTGAATCAATATTAGGAATATTCTTCAAAAGACACAAGAGAGAACGCCCTCTTCTACAAACATATGATTCTAGTTTTGCTAATCCCTTTGTCCGATTTTGTATTTCAATGATGCAGAGAAAAACTTTTCGGAAGGTCACGACAATTCAGAGAACCCTTTGGCTGCCCTCCCTCGATGGATTGGACCTTAGCGACGCCGTTAATGTGCTCTAATTCTATCTGCATTGTGA